GGATATGTCTTTTCTCAAAAGTTACGATTTCATATTGAACGATTACTATTTCATGTTTCTGAATACAGTCGAACGTATCACGTTTCAATGAACACGATAAAAAACGAGCAATATTTCTCAATGTGCAAGCAGACTATTTGACAATATAAATAATCCTGTAATAACACGCTTCATTCAAACACTTGTTAAATACAGTAAATAATTGGGAGTCATATGCTAATAAAAATAACCAACGGTGTCCTCGAATCGAATGGTAACAATCAGTTTATGTTGGAGTAGTGTATGGACATAGACGTATTCATTCAAGCTTTATTTGGTAATTGATTGTATAAGGAAAGATTAACTTCACCACAGATTAACAGTAATTCAAGGGTATTTGACAGTTAGAGAAAACCGTTTATTGTAACTAACACCGAGATATCTGCCACGTATGTGTTGATTACATTTTGTTCTCTGTTATTCTGTGTGAATTCACTGTGAATGCTTGTGTGTGATCACAAATAACGGAAATCGGAATACTGAGTATTACTAAATTAAGGGACTGGTGAGCACTCTGGTAGTTCCGTATGTTCCATTACAAAGTCGAGGAGACAACGGCGAGTATATCTAGATGCATTATATTTGGAATTCAAATCAGGTGGTGAACATTAGTGTACAAAAGAAATTATCATTTGAAATAAACACTCGAGTCACCCAGGTGAATCAATGATCTCAAGTGCGTAATATCTGGCAGAAAATAGACAACAACAGAGTAAATGAATTCTCTCACAGACCTCAGAAGACACTGCCTATCGAATCTATTTCGAAGGATGGCTTTTCGAATAGTGACATCTTCCACAATTGTTTGTTATGCTACATAATTGTGAATGAACATCAAGCCACTGAAATGCGAGTCATGTCAAATGTTTCATTGTTTCAACACTAGAATATCCTCTATGGAGATTGTCAAAAACAAATTTATAAAACAAAGAAGAAATAATTGCATAATCATTTCGGCTGAAATTGCATCCTAACTTGTTAGCGACCAATCAAAATTGGCGAAATGGACCGGAAATTCACGTTTCATATATAGAATTTCAACGTTACTCGATGAATATTGGTATACATCTGATGTATCGATAATTCTCTCGGAATCACATCAATATCCAAGATACTACGTACAGAATGAACACAAGGTGAGTGAGTTGAAGGTACACTATCACTTAAGAGAACTTTCAGTGAATGTACAATGCAGGAATCGTGTCTGGCACCCAATACAAAGAAGTTTAATGTTAAAATTCAAATTCGAGTTAACACGACAAGGAAAATCGGAAATAAACTGCTAAATATATTGACGAGCGTCTACCAGGATGTAATCTGTAAGAGTATTCGGAGGTTGCAGGGCTGGTTGTTTTATCTCAATTACAAAATAGTGACCGCCAACAAAACATTCCAAGGTTTTGAAACCAAATACACAAAATGAACACCTACTTTGATTTGCAACATATTACATCGCAAGCAGATGAAACAAGACAACAATAAGTCTCTGTTCAAACGATATTTCATCCTAAACACAAATACTAAAAATCTTCTTGACAAACCTCAACACCTGTTAGTTCACTGGTTGTGATCTTCATCCCTTGCTTAAGTATGGCTGGCTAACTATATAAACCTAATTTCAAGTTAATTTGTTTCAGTAGACCACAAAGAATAGCAATCGTTTATGAAAATGATTATTTTTTCTTTGAGAATCCGTAGACAAACATCTTTTAGATGATTTTCACAGCACACTTCAGAACGATGAGGTTGACTGAAGACTTCGTCAGCTTTAACGTTTTGAGTATGTGTACCTCGTAAAACTGGAATTCAATGTGAAAGGCTGAATTCTTCTCCCTTAAATCACGCAGCTATCAAATGATAAATCAAAGCATCAGGATCTTGTGTGAAGCTTAATTGTATTTTCATAAGTTATTATGACAGCCCCGTTTAAAACATTGACTGTAGTTAATTTCAAACGGTACTTCCCAGTAGTAAGACTTCATCAAAATAAACATTCACAACGGATTCATTATTGATGGCAGTTATTATGTAATCACGTGTACACATACGACTCATTTAAGAATAAAATGTGGAACTCTTGTAACACACGTCGCTTTTGATTAAAAGAAAAAACAATCACGCAAACAATAAAAACCATGTTTATAATTTAATCAACAAGATTACATCGTTTATAATGTAGACAAGCATAAGAATGTAAACGGTTCAATGAAGAAATTTTTCAGACTACTGAAATGAATAATTAACTTGAAAGTTTTCTACTGCAATATGAAATAAATAGAACATGAACAGAATAATCAAAACAGGTTACAAGTTGTTTTTGTGACAATCACTCATTATTTTTCATTCTTCGATTCATCCAAATCCAAATAAAACAACCAATACATAGAAGAGAGAAAGAGACGGCCAGAGGGATCACAATGTACAAGTACCGAGATGATTTCGTACTTTGAATCAGCTCAATTGTTTCGATAGTCGAATTCTAAAAAAAAGAGAAGGAAGTAACATGCACTACATATCAAATATTTACCAAGTGTGGAGCATTTTCTTTGGAAGGTTTCTTGAGGTTTTTTCCATCCTGGACATCATTGACATCGGATTTTCTTTCAGTTTGTTTGATGGGTGTTAGTGTAATCGTATCTTTAACCTGTGAGCCCGTCTGCACAAGTGAAACAACAGCATTTATTACTTAACACCAATTATTATTCAAATATTTCATTAATCATTATACATTATTGTGAGATATGATGATACAAGAGAATTCCACAAATAGTTACAAAACAAAGAAGTAGCATGTATAACTAGTTATCAAATATTTACCAAGTGTGGAGCATTTTCTTTGGAAGGTTCCTTCAGGTTTGCTTCAACCTGGACTTCATTGACATCAGATGTTCCTTCAGTTTGTTTGTTGGGTGTTAGTGTAATCGTATCTTTAACCTGTGAGCCCGTCTGCACAAGTGAAACAACAGCATTTATTACTTAACACCAATTATTATTCAAATATTTCATTAATCATTATACATTATTGTGAGATATGATGATACAAGAGAATTCCACAAATAGTTACAAAACAAAGAAGTAGCATGTATAACTAGTTATCAAATATTTACCAAGTGTGGAGCATTTTCTTTGGAAGGTTTCTTGAGGTTTGCTTCAACCTGGACTTCATTGACATCAGATGTTCCTTCAGTTTGTTTGTTGGGTGTTAGTGTAATCGTATCTTTAACCTGTGAGCCCGTCTGCACAAGTGAAACAACAGCATTTATTACTTAACACCATTTATTATTCAAATATTTCATTAATCATTATACATTATTGTGAGATATGATGATACAAGAGAATTCCACAAATAGTTACAAAACAAAGAAGTAGCATGTATAACTAGTTATCAAATATTTACCAAGTGTGGAGCATTTTCTTTGGAAGGTTCCTTCAGGTTTGCTTCAACCTGGACTTCATTGACATCAGATGTTCCTTCAGTTTGTTTGTTGGGTGTTAGTGTAATCGTATCTTTAACCTGTGAGCCCGTCTGCACAAGTGAAACAACAGCATTTATTACTTAACACCATTTATTATTCAAATATTTCATTAATCATTATACATTATTGTGAGATATGATGATACAAGAGAATTCCACAAATAGTTACAAAACAAAGAAGTAGCATGTATAACTAGTTATCAAATATTTACCAAGTGTGGAGCATTTTCTTTGGAAGGTTTCTTGAGGTTTGCTTCAACCTGGACTTCATTGACATCAGATGTTCCTTCAGTTTGTTTGTTGGGTGTTAGTGTAATCGTATCTTTAACCTGTGAGCCCGTCTGCACAAGTGAAACAACAGCATTTATTACTTAACACCAATTATTATTCAAATATTTCATTAATCATTATACATTATTGTGAGATATGATGATACAAGAGAATTCCACAAATAGTTACAAAACAAAGAAGTAGCATGTATAACTAGTTATCAAATATTTACCAAGTGTGGAGCATTTTCTTTGGAAGGTTCCTTCAGGTTTGCTTCAACCTGGACTTCATTGACATCAGATGTTCCTTCAGTTTGTTTGATGGGTGTTAGTGTAATCGTATCTTTAACCTGTGAGCCCGTCTGCACAAGTGAAACAACAGCATTTATTACTTAACACCATTTATTATTCAAATATTTCATTAATCATTATACATTATTGTGAGATATGATGATACAAGAGAATTCCACAAATAGTTACAAAACAAAGAAGTAGCATGTATAACTAGTTATCAAATATTTACCAAGTGTGGAGCATTTTCTTTGGAAGGTTCCTTCAGGTTTGCTTCAACCTGGACTTCATTGACATCAGATGTTCCTTCAGTTTGTTTGATGAATGTTTATGTAATCAAATCTTTAACCTGTTAGCTCGTCTGCTCGTCAGGGTCTACCAACTTCCATCAAATATCAAAACGTGATACCCAATTTTCAACAGGTTGAGCTACTTTACTTAAAACTGGTTTCTTTGATACTTTCTAACAATTCACATAGATCTACGATTTTATGTTGGGTTTCTAAAATAATCAGAAATTGAATAGGCTGAAATATTACTATTTTTTCAGGCACTAATGGCAAGCAATGTTTTGACCCACTGTTTATTGTTTCCTTGGAGAAAAAGCAGTAAACTTATATTTGACTAGATATCGTCAACGTATAAAAAGCCTTAATTCAGTCAACTAGGATAGAATACACGTCAGTTCTTATTCATAGCTTCTTCTTTCAAGTCAAACCATTTACTCGGAATGTGGAATTTGTTGATATTGTAAACTACCTGTGAAGTTAAGCATGTACTAACCTCATCATTGCAGTCATTTACTTTCAGCATATGAGTATCCTGATCATTGCTTTCAATGCATTCGCCAGCTTTTCCGCACCAAATACATGTTGTATCCAATGGTGTTGCTTTTTGGCATGCTTCCTTTGTTGTGTGTATCGAACACAATGCTGTGAAAATAATAAGGTGATTTGATTCAGGTTATCACACAAAAGGTAGATAAATTAGGAAAATATAAAACATTCACTAAATCACATAATGGTAGTTCCACTACTGACTGACTATTTCATTCAATGGAAAATTGTCGTCACAATGCACAATACCATATTCAGTACTTTTTCATCTGCACTAATACTTCATGATAGCATGTTTGAAATGAATCAAACTACTTTGAATGTCAAATATGGACGATGAATTAAGATGACTGAATTTGTTGGATTTCAATTACTATTTTGATTGAAACGTGTACACAGAATGCTGTCATTAAGTTCAGCAAAGCGTACTGCATTGAATTACTGATGATTGTACAGTTTCATTTCATGATATCAGTTTATATGATCAAATTCAATACAAGAAAGACAGTTGTTCTTTGACTAAAACTTTATTTTCAATTTTCTTAATTCACTCGAACAACAAAAGGAAGAGTGACATTGTTTATCTAATCACCGAAGACAATTTAATTGGGTAACATTCAGTCTGCGTAATTTGATGGAGGATATTTAAGTGTGTGGTCGCATTTCATTTGACGAATATTGTAGGCGATCTGATCCATAGATAATGGAATGCTTTTGTCGAAATATTATTTCAATAGTCTAACACATTGTAAACTGAAACCTGGTTTTAGTTACTGAGTATTTATATTAATGAGACAGGACAATTTTTCATACTGAGAAAATCGTCATTAATTCTAAGACTGGTCACAATAAATTGTAAGTTGGAGGCTTAGCTTGTCTACTCTTTCAATTTATAGTATATATACGACAAAACAGAGATTTCGGAAATCGTACAGTCGTTTTCATGGCAATTGCAAGTACGTGGTGTGTTATCGCGAATTCACTGCCTCATGAAAATTCGATATTACATGTAGCAAAATAATAAACTGACACTTCCCTGTCATTGTACAATCAACGAACTGACATTCAATTTTTTTCCAGACTTATATCATCTTATCTATCCTTCTGTGTCTTTGTTTAGGTAAATTTGATTAATCTGAAGATTTCAATATTAGTTCAAAATGTTCTCTTAATCATATGTAATGTTAAACAAAGAATCCATGTGTAGTTATTAACGTTAAGTGAAACGTTATTTCGGACGGATACCTGAATATAATTTAAAGGCTGACTACAGTATCATATGGAATTTTCAACTTGTTGAAACAAAAGTGATATACTCAAGCGTGAAAATAGTTAGTGCTGATTAAATAAAGTTTAACATACTTCTGATGACTTCAAACTCCACTAACGTGCCACTTTTCATCCATTCAAAAGGAACGGTTATTTCAGGATTTATGGGTTCTGGTGTGATAAATTAAACAGAAAAAGATACCTCATATTATTGTTTTTTTAGGTGTGAAAAGTTGTTTGCACCACTTGAGGAGCATTCAAAATAGGAAACTGAAAAAATCTCTCATAAACGATAGAGTAATGATCATATCATATCACTGGATATTTGGGTTGACAAGGCTCTGAATTTCGAAAGTGATCAATGATCAACCAAAATATCAAAGACCATGTTCATAAATTTATGAGTTTTTTTAGGAAGAAATCAATGAAAACTCTGCAAAGAATACGCTTAACTCGTTAAACAAGTCCCACGTTTCTAACTAAATTGGAATGAAGATTCAATTGATTTTCGTATTGCTTATTAAATATTTCTATTGATGTTAAGGACTACAGTTGATTTCACTGCTTACAATATTTATGACTTAAGGAAACATAAAGACAATCCACAGAGGACGCAGAAACAATAATAAGAGAATGATCATTTAAAGTCCAGAATATCAATGAGAGGTTTCACGCAGACATTACAAAGATGATTATTACCTTCACTGGTAAAAGATTCAGTAATGCACTTCGACCGATCAATAAATATCACTTGATTGAACATTCAGTGAATTTTCACACATTCAATCATATAACATTGTATCACAACGATCACCCAGCTTCATCTTTCAACAACATGTGATCATTTTAGTGAAGAATGTTGATTGGGCATGTTACGAAGGAAATATGAGTTCCATGTACCACTCGTGCATTTTTGTTTCATACAAAACACATTTGATTTTTCACTGAGTGGTGATTTGACTGATAACTGCATGTGCGACTGTCGTACTGTGATTGAGTGATGAAATGAGTGTGAATGTCATCTGTTTGAAACCGTCATTCATATATCTCTGTCTCGTTCAGTCAAATGATAATCGTAAGTGTGAGACGTTTCCGAATATTCACCCACACCTTTGTTATTTCACCCGAGAAATCTGAATACTTGAGTGTCAATAAATGTGGATCTTGTAATTGATGGTCGATGAAATTTCTTACAGAAAAATGAAATAATTCAGTACAGTACAGTCATCCTTTTTCGAATGACGTATTCACAAATATCAAACACTTTCATGATTCGGTTGCACTGTCATTCATAATCTGATGTGATAATTCGCTTTCACTACAACAAGTGTAAACAATCAATTGAAGTTGTACAGTCAATGTTCAGTAACATTTGGTCAGTACTGTTACAAATAGTTTCTCGATTTCATTTTACATAATTATCCGCAACACTTCAGTGACATTTCCATCAGCTGATTTTTACACGCAAAACAACTGATTGTCGTAAACTGTTAGAAAGCTATGTCAGGTCACTGTGATAGAATACAAAAGTTTTCTTTATTAGCACGCTCGTAGCCGATTACAAATAGAGGGTAATATAACGCTAAAATATGATTGGTGATATACGTCATTGTACATCAATATGTTAACAACATTCGTTGAAATGATTCTTACCTGAATTACACATGACTTCGCCTGTCATTATTGTATCCAGCTCTTCCTCCTGAATTTCCGCGGGAATCTGAAAAAAATGTATATCAATTGCGTCTCCAAAATCTGTCGACACAACCCTCTATATCCAAACCAATTAATCATTGAACTTATATGTCATCATTGAGACGGTCTCAATCACGGAAAAACATTCACAGTCAGAGTAAACATGCTGATATCCTCAGTTTCTTTAGAAGTACGTTCCATCTCGTCTACATAATTATTCTGTATCACTACAGTCGTCAACTTCAGTAAAGTTTGATGAAACGTGGGAACACACTTCAAGATCAATAACTCCATCAATTGAAATTTGATGTGATTTTGAACAACTGCAAAGATGCTGTGCTCAGAATATTCAATAGACGAAGTTTCAAAAAGCCGATCTTTGGAAGACGAACTAAAGCTTGACTGAATACGTCTATGTCCATACAGTACTCCAACATACGCCGATTGTTACTATTCGGCACGAGAACACCATTGGTTAGTACTTGACTCCTAATTACTTACTGTATTTAAAAGGTGCTCAAATGAAGTGTGTTATGAAAGGTTTATTTATATTGTCAAATAGTCTGCTTGCACATTGAGAAATATTGCTCGTTTTCTATCATGTTCATTGAAACGTGATAAGTTCGACTGTATTCATAAACATGAAATACTAGAATAATTTGTGGTACTTAAAACACATTTTCAATTGTGTGACTTACCTTCTCATAATACAATGATATCTTTCCATTTGGATATATTAAAGAAGCTATATTGATTGTATCCTCTACAATTAGAAGACTATCGATACTTAGAAGTTGATAAAAATAATAAGCAATAATGCTTTATCTAGCTGAATTGGTTAATAATACTATGAAGTGAACGACATGTGAATGAAAGGAGAATGCATCAGTGATAACAAATGTCCAATGGCTAGATTTTGAAGCTGTATTATCATTTTATTATTATGAAAACAATAAATCGTCAGTGTTTGATTATGTAAGTTGTATTCACATGTATTTAATATGGTGAATTTTGAAACAATCGACTCTTAGTATACATTCCATTAATTTTGGAGTGTTTGTTTACAAATAGAACTTGTAAATTCACTTGATTACTCAACTTTAAGATGTTTTTCAATCGATCAGCTCACTCCAAAGATGATAATGTTTATTTGTTGGAAATGAGAAACGAATAGACTAAGATATGTTGTCATAGCGATTTCTTAATTTGAATGAATAATATTCAGTAGTGACCATGCGATAAATGGATGTGTTGATAAATGTCTTGTGTGCAGAAATAGCTTTGTGATGAACACACAATACAAATCAATTATTTCGATACAGAGACATCTCATCAAGTCCCATTGAAACCTGTATTCCTTTTTCCTACAAATGAATTGATACCGTAATTTATTCATCCAAGTTGATCAATTTATTACTTTTCAAATCTAGTCTTTTCCAAATAATGTCAATAGTTCTTTAAGTTTCACCTAACGTAATCAAATGGTTAGTGGATTTCATTTGTAATTCTACCCTCATCTCCTCGATAAGTAACAAATTGAGACGCACAAACTGTAAGTATTCACAATGGGTGAAGGTGTAGGTGTATAGGTTCCACATGTAATCAAACAACTATCTAACGTTGATTTACCTGTACTATAGTCTTGTGGTATAAATGACCATCTGACAGCGACTAATTCCTCTGAAATAATGGTAATCAAAGTAGATTTTTAAGTATCTGCATGATGAATATCTATCTTATTCAATAAACTTACGTTTTAACAGGACCTGTATTTTCGTATAAGTTATCATCCACATACCAAGATATACATGAGATAGTGTGATTAAATACTCAATCACCTCTGATGAGGACGTTTTAAGGAATACTATCATCTCCATGATATTATCTAAGTTTCAATCCAATCATCATAGAACAATATTTCACTACCGTTAAATTTGTACTAAGAGCATTTGACTGAGCGAAATTCGTTTAATATCCATCCGGGAACAGCCAAATTAAATTATTTTGTGAAATTATGTTGCTCATGAGTACTGATCATTGACCAAAATGAATGTATGTAACCTTGATATTCCAAGTGTTCTAGTTCGAGTAAATCACTTTGTACTAGCTGACTGTTCATGGTTGCTCATTGATGAGCTGTACTAAGGAATTCCCTGTGTTCGAAGATCATAACCATACGAATTTGATTACGAATATTGAGATGAATAATCGATAGTTAGCAGACAGCGACTCAGAGGCATTGAACTTTTATAAATCAAGATAGTGCTTGGAAAGCATTCGAGGACATCAAATATAACTTGATGGTCCATAGGATTGAATAATCTGAAATGATAACTCACACAATATCGCTTATTGTTGCACATGTTATCGATTCAATGTTCTAAATCATTTGATTTCTTTAGTATATTAAGATGCATCGATGAGATATCTCCTCCTTTGTAGCTTTCATAAACTGAAGAGTCGATAAATTTCACTTTGGCTATTACGTCACTTGGTTTATCATATTTACTCAATCAGTGTATGTTTATTTTGAGGTGAATCTCTGTTCCATTTAACTTTTTCACTTAATAATAATCAGTAGATTAGAAGGGGATTTGTAGAGATTTCAGTATTTTTCAAAGTTAAAATCATGAGTCAATTGAAACCTAGATCACCATCGAAAACCTGGAACCACTGGACGGTCGTTTCGTCCTACTATGGGTTTTATAACCAGTGCACATCTACGATGTTGTGAACACATCGTTTGGTACAAACATCACACAACCAAAAAACACTCAATGAATAGTAGTTGATTAATGTGTAATAACCATTTTGAATACTGAATCATTTGTGCAAAATAAATGTGAGAAAAAGAAATGAAACAAACGATAACTCAATAATATATAAACTCACCTTCATTCAAGATCATTAACTGAGAAGATTGAATTTCTGGCATAGTAAAGGCAACGGATCCCAAGGGAAAGTTTATTACACCTGTATTGTTTTAATGAAATCATACAACATGATTAATCATTGTACATTGAATGAATTAAAGAGTTTCAAATAAACAAAATAATAAAATCAGTTGCATGATCTGTATTCGTATTGCTGTAAGGCATCACACTAATGACAATTTGTACAAGAAAATGTATTCAAAGAAGTATTGAATGTCTCATAGAGCATCAAATTGATTCACCGGAGAAATGGAATGAAGTTTGAATCATTGAAAGAAATGCGATCAAGAAAACTCGATAACGATTTTGTTGATTCAAAGTAAAATATTGACTTACCAGTAGGCGAAATATTAAAATGATCGACATGATTATTGTAATATTCAAAGGAGAATTTTGGGATAACAGTCTAAACAGATAAAAACATAAGAATAAGTACTTCCAACATAAAATGTAGTCAACTCACTTGTTCATCAGTGACTTCTTCAAAATCACCCTTCACAACTGGATGTAATTGATGACGCCTAATTCGCATTGAATATTTGTTATGAATAGACTGAGTATTTGTATTAGAATCTAATTCATTACTTACATATCGATACGAGACATTTTCAAAAATTACTTTGTTATACTCCTGCAATTCTTGACAATTGTCTTCACAATTGAAAAATTTATTCGGCCAAATGACGATCAGACAAAGTGATATCAATAGACTAGGCAGCAATGTATATCTAAAATCATCCAGATGAACAAACACAACGGTATATCAAATTGAATCGAATTAAAATTTCAGTGCGTAGGTTTAATCAACACTTACCTCATTTTCTTGAGTGAAGTTATTATTCAAATTTCAATAGAAATTGTCAGGTTTATATAGACTTTCAAAGTGTTTAGTTGTCTCTTTGTGATTTGATGATTCAAAGTGACCATTAAGAAGATCAAATTTAATAAAATCACATATTCATTGTAAACCAATCATAGAGGTATATGACTTCATATTCATCAAATATTCTTGTTGTTGTTGAGAATATCAGCTGAAATTTATCAGCCGTTGGCTGAAATTTCCGACCCCTATTGATAAAACTTCTTAGGAATGTGATTGACAATACTTTAAAATAGGTCGTTGATTAACTTGTAGTTCAAAGTGTGGGCTCATATATTTGCTAACAAATTGTTTGTTGCCGTATTGTTCTGTTAATTGACCGTCAGTGGTGCATTCTTTTGATTTGATTGGTTAAAATCAAATTAGCACACACTGTTGTGATTGGATATTAAAAATTACTCTTTTACACATGAATATTGCTTCAATCAACATGGATTTTTGTTCTCTGAGCTTAATGGTTTGGTCAACATATTCTATCAGACGATTTCATCGTCGTTCAATATGTAACTGTAACTTCGGAGCAAAGCCATATCCACTCTATTTGACCACCAATCGTACCCTTAACTGTTAAAAGATGTCTAGATCAAAATAGATAATTAGTTTCCGATTGATCATATAGAAGTCGAACTGAATGTGTTAAGTTATGTGGATTGACGTCTCTAAAGAACCACAATACATTTCATTGAAAGTGAACTGTTGAATATTGAGAACGATATCTTGAACCTGACACCGATTTGTAGTTAGAATAGTGATCATTGTACAATTCTTCAATTCTTGCATAAAACTCATTGTTCATTACTTTCCTCAATTATCTCTTCACGGATATTTGTTGTATCGTGAAGAGTGCTCAAGATAGTTGGCATGATGTGTGGTGAATCTTTTGAGGTCATTACTCAGATGGTTGTGCAAACACTTACCAAATTCTGAAAGGTGTTATCTTATCAGATACTAACTATCCATTTTTATTCATATATTCTCTTTCTATATCTTGTGGTGGAACGAGGCATTATTGCATTAGAATCCATGTTTGCAAGCAAAAGTATAAAATCTCTACAATATCTAATATAGAAAATATACTCTATGACGAATAGGTTGTACTAGATGATGGAATCAATAATTAGTATTCTCACATATATTTCTAATTGGAAATATTGTACAGATCCCCAATCTTCTCAAATAGACATTCCATTCAATTCTAAGTAGTTTATTCAGTCAACTTATGTAGGCGGTCATCAGAATTTTCAACATTCCTCATTTTCAGTAAGAGAAAATTATCGAGCCATATATATCACTTCAGTTATCTTCAGGATTATGGAGAAAATTATGAGCGATGAAATCATCAACTACATATACGCTGTAGAATTTATCTTTGATTCTCTTTATGGATTTTTTAAAACTCGATTTTGTATGACATGCCATCTAATCGGAGGTGATGTTAACTTTCCGATTAGTTGACCGGAAACAACTATTGAGGTTTTGTTATGAGCTGTTTAGCCAACATCACCAGGCCAAACCAACTGGCTTTACTGTTCCAACACAAAGATTGTTTAATGTGGCTGTAATGCTACAGGAGCATCCTTTAAAACCAACTCCAATAATCTAACATTCTCGTGTGAGTATTTCGTATTTTGTCGAAGCAATTACTTAGAACAAGTACACATATGTTCACCGTAATGACATAAATTTACTGTGAAGAGTTTCTGACATTTTTTTGGGAGAAAGCCAGTGTTATTACATAATTTCAACTTCCCATTCTACAGGACACAATTCACGTCATTGTTCAATTACAACACATAAGTCTACGGAACTTTGAATTGTCCAGTCTGATCATGTTTGGAAACAGTAAAAGAAATAGCATTTGAACTGATTTCAGCATGGGGAAATTATGGAAGAAACAAGGAACAATATAATAGTTGAAGTTTATCTTATCAAGCTAGAATGTAAGCAAAATCATCTGGTCAATGGTAACTGAGAAATTATTCTGATAGGGATATACTGAAAGAAGTTGATCACGTGCCTATGGATTATTTCAAGCCACTTATTTCGTACATTTTATTCGGTTTGGTAGGTAAACTCCTTTATTCATTCCAGTCTTGTGAGTTTGGCATACTATAGAAAGTATACATCGTGAGCAAGTTGAATCTCAGAATACAACACACATATAGTGATAAGCACTTGTTTGTGGTAGATTATTAGTTCATAGGTGACTACCCTAACTACTACACTAGATGATATGAGTTCGAAAATATGAGGATAGTATCAATTGTTTATAGGTGGAATAGAATGTATTTGACAACAAAGAAGAATGGTTCAAGTGGTTAGGAAGATAACATTGTCTAATAGGATGATATTTCTTTTGATGTAGCGTGTGTGTTTGGTCTGAACACATCATGCACTGCACTCGCCCTCTCTAATCTTTTTTAAACTGACGACTGTCAATTGATGATTCAGTAAGGAATATTCGTTTGATTACTATATATAATCATCACATTTACTATTTCTGTTCTTCTAATGTAATATACGTTGCCAAATATGAAATCTTCTTTTGTCAAAGTAATAATAATGATAATAATTGTGTACAATACCTAAGTGTCATTTCAAAGAAAAACAAAACATCAACCTGCTGACCTTAGATGTTGTTTTTATCAATGGTAATGATAATTAACGTGATATATAACTACAATATGATAAGGAATGTGGTTCACTAATGATGCTTTCATATGACTGATAAACACCTACTCACACAAAACAAAGTTGAATGAATGTTTTTTTCATTTTTTCCGATGGTTACTACTAAATATAGGGAGACTGAAATAAAAATAATTAGTTGATTATATAGTTTCAAAGATGGTCTTGCTTCAGCTATCAACAAACACTTTAATAGTATCATTATTATTGGCTTTATCCAATATTATATACTTGGCACAATATAGAATTCTCAGCACAATGTATTTCAACAAGTTTCCATTTATTACTTCTTGATCGATCCTGACGACAATTATTGAATGATCGCCAGTTACAAGTTAGCAGTATAGTCAATCGAAATGTAAATGATGTACAATCGTTTCGCTGCATATTACCCGCAACCGTGATATCTCGAATCGCGCCTTTGTAACTTGTACAACGAAAAATTTGTAAATCTTTGAGAAACGCACCTGAATCGGTTATGCGATTAATAGCCATAATGATGTATTAGAACAAGCAAAAATAGATAACTAGTTGAAATATCTAGGTGGCAGAAACAGGTAGCCCAGATGTGCAAACAGGCCCCCAATTCACCATCTCATTTCAAATGAGTTTAGTGAAGATCATCTTCAGCAAACATGATATCACTAATTAGTTATTACATCTCATATATATTGGCTATGAGATTGTTGTCAATCATCTAGATCAAATTATCCACATCACGTTCTATGTATCGTTTTATATCAATCACTGTGACAGATGAAATCGGTATCTATACCTAATATTCTGGATGGTTACATTCGACTGTTGGCCAAATGCATGTTTGTGTTGAATATTGGTTGAAGTTAGATATCATTGTGAGGTGGAAACGATCAAATTTTACAAAAGAGTGAATATATATATTTAAATATCATTTGGTATTGAAATTGTTCTTAGTTATTCAACAGAATCGAAACGAGTTCCTCTATAAGGAAGCATTCGTAGATGAATACCTAAGTAGCCTGCCCACTCTGTCGGTTTCCACAATTTGTATATTTGGTTGATGTTAATGAGAAGATACTTTGACTGATTAGAATTACGTTCGGTTTTTGTAGTCTGTGGGAGATATCCGTGAGACGAGTTAGTTTAAGTCGGTGAGACATATCCTCACTCATGAAAAAGAAAAACGAATACGCTCCATGTAATACAATTACATATCACTCAGTATTGAAGAATAAAGATTAACTACTGCGATACTCGGAACTAAACTGACCTCTGACAGGACAGAGATATTCATGTGTCGATACTGCCCAGCAATTGATTACTTGTGGAATACTCTCAATCATGTGTTCTATCTATAGTAATTACGAATAAGAAGGTGTTGTTCATTGTATGATCAAAATGACGTGTTGGGACAGTTTGGATGGATATTTTCATTTGAAAATATTCACAGATTTCAATAAACTCTCCTCAGGTATAAATTCTAATGGTACAGAAACAGTTAGTGAAGCAGAAAAACACGAATTCGTTGTATTTCGTGGTTTCTCGTCAACTACCTACAAAATGTAATTTTGACATTCAAACAGTCTTCATCTGCTTGACAGAGGCTATAGAGTTGATGATTTAAATTTCTTGAAGTTGAATAGTAAACGAAGAACACTTACTTTACTACGGTTTCCCGAAGCGACCGGCATGAATTCACCTAAATCCATTTTATTCATCGACAAAGAATTAGTTGTCCATATTGTCTGACCATCATTAACTCATTATCATATGTTTGTCACCTGATTCTTCCTTTCGTGACACCTCTTGAAACGTGAATCCCTTGTAATACGTTACGAATTTTGTTTCTCAGATATATATCGTAATAATCTAAGGCACCTATAAAACGTTCTTTTGAGTCAAACGATTTTACTATATTCGTACAAAATTTTTCAACCAAATTAAAGAGAAGCCAAGTTAAGAGTCAATAATGGGGAACTCGTATGTATATAATTCAACATTTCCTTTCAAGAAACCCGTCAAAGCAATTCAAAATGTTTATATATAATGTATCATGCATAATAGCACTTTTATATAAGAATCTAAAAATTATGGTAGACCTTTTCAGTTGTGTGTGACTTGCAATTCAAGAAAATCTATCTCATGCAATTAGTTCCCTTTATGAATGTGAATAAAGCTGCAACAAATATTGATGCAGAATAATAGGAATTCATTATATTTCATAGTTTGTTGTCAGCTAATTACAACCAAATATGTATTGGAATTTTAGCAT